AGCCATGATATTTTCAATAACCTCATATGCATGTGAAAGCTAGACAGTGAATAAGGAAGACTGTAGAAGAATTGACGCATTTGAGTTATGGTATTGGTGGAGAATATTGAAAGTGCCCTGGGCTGCCAAAAGAACCAACAGATCTGTGTTGAAAGAAGTGAAGCCAGAGTGCTCCTTGGAGGCCAAGACGGCCAAACTTCATCTCTCATACTTTGGACATATTTTCAGGAGGGACCAGTCGCTGGAGAAGGATATCATATTTGGTAAGGTGGAGGGTCAGAGAAGAAGAAGGCACCCAGAGAGATTGGCCAAGTGGCAGCATCAATGAGCTCAAGCATGGCAACAATTGTGAGGTTGGCAGTGTTTTGTTCTGTTGTGCATACAGTCGCTATGAGTCAGTACCGACTCAATGGCGCCTAACAACAACATCAGAGTTGTACTTCAGAATAGTTCTTGAAATGTTCTTTTTGACAACAAATACAATGCCATTCTTCTGCAACTTTTCATTTTCTATATAGTTGTTGTTTTTAAGTGCCATTGAGTTGGTTCCGACCCATAGGTACACTGTATAGCATTTCTGAGGAGCAGCTGATGAGCTTGAACCACCAACCTTGCGGTTCAAGCCAACTTTGCAGTCCAGCACATTAACCCACAGCATCACACCAGGAGTCCATATTATTGTGCAATTCAAAATGACCAGTGCCTGTCCATTTCAGCTCACTAATGTCTAAGATACTGATCTTCAAGCATTACATTTCATTTTGACAGCTTCCAATTTTCCTTGATTAATACTTTGTACACCCCTTGTTCTGATTATACTAATGGATTGTGGCAGCTGTTTCTTCTCATTTTAAGTCATGCTACACTCTCAAATAAAGTTCCTGAAAGCCTTACTATACCATGTCATTAAGGAGTCCTGGTGTGGTGCTTCAGGTTAATGAGCTGGACTGCAAAGGTGGTTTGAACCGCAAGGTCAGTGTTTCAAGCTCACCAGCTACTCCTTGGAAACCCTATCTTGGGTCACTTTGGGTCAGAACTGACTGGATGGCACTTAACAAACAAGGTCAGTTTGAACCACAAAGTTGGCAGTTTAAACATAGTAGCTACTCCTTGGAAACTCTATACTAGGTTGCTGTTAGTCTGAACCAATTCAGCAGCACTTAACAACAACAACAAGTCCCAAGAAACTGGTGGCAGGAAAAACAGTACTATTGTCTGGAAATGGTCAGGTCTCAAAATTCCAGCCCATAAGCTACCTCCAAAATCTTTAGTAGGAGAGAATAGCTTGGAGCCTCTGAGTGCTGAGGAATGAAAAGGTGATATAGTAAGCTGAAGAGAAGAGGCAGAGATTCTCAGACCTCAAACCTCACAAACATATGGACTATTGAGATTCCACACTCCACCTGGACCCAATGTGAGAGGAATCTCACTTCTAAATATCCCAAAAAATATTTTCCCTGCTGCTGTGCTGATATATTACATTTAGTTGTGGGGTCTTTTATTATCATTATTAATATTCACGTCTATTGTCTTGTTTCTGAGAGAAAGTGAATTTTTTTTTTTTTAATTTTTCTAGGCTCTTTTTTACTCTCAGGTTTCTGAATGTGGCATATATTTGCCAGTGAAATGTACTACTATGAGGTTTAGAAGGTGCAAATTAGGCAAAAATCATCTCATGCAGTGGACACTTGGGTTTCACAGACATAAGTTTTGGCATCAGTTTTGTGTTCCCTGGACATTGTGTTCCCTTTAGGCTCTAAAAGGGCTGTGACAGCTACAGTGGTTACCTACAGGTTGCTGGTCCTTAATTTAGTGATTTGCATTGACTTCCTTCCTCAAGACTTCCTAACCATTTAAAGGCATTGTTGTTGTTAAGTGCCCTGCCATCCAATCAGTTCCAACTCATAGGGACCCTATACAGGATTTCCAAGGAGCAGCTGTGAGTTTGAACCACCGACCTTGTGGTTCAAACCAACCTTGTGGTCCAGTGCTTTATCCCACAGCACCACACCAGGACTCTGTTAAAAGGCATAATTCTCTGTAATATATTCAATTCTGTTTAAAATGCCTACAGTGATTTCTAAGATTCTTCATCATTCATTATCATCAAAAAACTTCATTCAGGGACCCTCAGAGATTCCCTGAAACTCACAGGAAGCTAGATTTTGGGAGAGAATAGGGAAACAGTAATAATGCACAAACAGCAATTGCTCTCCTAACACTGAGAAAAGGAACTGAAAGTATTTTCTAACATCTCTCAATTTTAATAGCCCCTGAGAGAACCAATCAGTGTTTTAACTTTAAACACATCATAAGTTACTGAGCAACATCTTAGATTCAAAGTTCTGTTACAATAAGCAAAGTATCTTTCTGTAAAATAACTTAAAATTTATCATATATTTACTGAGTACCTTCTAAACAAGGCATTATAACAGTCTGCAAATGGTGGTGGTGGTAGTGTGCCGTGGAGTCAGTTCCGAGTCATAGCGACCCGGTATAGGGTTTCCGAGGCTGTAAATTTTTACTGGAGCAAAAAGCCTTTCTCCCGCAGAGTAGCTGGTAGTTTTGAACTGCTGACCTAAAGGTTAGCAGCCCGACTCTTAATCACTACGCTACCAAAGCTCCTTCGGCAAGTGGTTGTTGTTGTTAAGTGCCGTCGAGTCAGTTCTGACCTATAGCGACCTTGTATAGGGTTTCCTAGGAACAGGTGGTAAGCTTGAACCACCGACCTTGTAGCTCAAACGACTTTGCCGTCTGGCTCATTAACCCACAGCACCACACCAGGACTGTGGTGGCTATGTGCCCTGGCATCAGTTCAGATTCATAGGGAGTACAGGTTTCTGAAGCTGTAAATCTTTCCGAAGCTGTAAATCTTTACGGAACAGCTGGTAGTTTCCAACTGCTGATTCTGAGAGCTGTACTGTGATTCTTCTCCTAGTGATCAAGTAATCATTGTCAAAGGATGTTCGGAGCTCTTAAATCTGACCAGATAAATTGAGGTTCTAAAGGGTGTTTGGAGTTCGGGGGTGAAGCTGAGGGATAATGCGTTAGGTGGGTGGTTGAAATTCACCAGCCGCTCCTTGGAAACCCTGCACAGGGGCGCTATGAGCTAGAACCTACTGGTCGGCACTTAACAATAGCTAAAGGTGTTTGCCCTCATAATTTGTGAAAGAGCTGCATAACAGAATAAGATCATGTGTCGTGACTGATATTAAATAAGACTCCCCAACTAATGGGCTGCCTCACTGCCACGTTTCTCCTCATTAACAATATTTGGACTCCAACTGTCCTTTCTATGTGTGAATCAACATATTTCTTTCTTCTGTGCTGGTTTTTCAGAAACATGAGAGCCAGAGTGTCATCATGTTCAGTCTTTTCTGTGGCTGGTGGACATTGAAATATATTCTTAGAATCAGAACTTCAATAATCTTAGGACAAGATGGAAGAAATGACAAAGCCCTGTGCGTTTTATCTGTCTCTAGTGCTTCCAGAAAAATATGCTCTGCTTAAGTTTCTCCATCATGTTTGTTGACCTGAGTGTACAAATAAAATGTCTTCTATGGTCTACTACAATCTCTGGTCGTAGTAAGGATGGTAAGGACTAGGAGAAGGTATTCCTTCTACAACCCACAATTTTAAGTAATCACCTATGGCCACGGTGTAGTTTTCCATCTCTCACCATTCTGGGGAGTGTTGAAACTCAAGAGTCTCTTCTTTGATACTCTATACAGATAGCATATTTCCAGGTATCCCAAGCTTTGGGGCTGAGTTGGCCATCTGAGGTCTAGGAAATTGGAGGAGACACTTAAAGGAATAAACTTTGTCACCAGGATTTGGAAATTCCACTTACTTGCTCTATAGAGGATTGTTGTTCCTAAATAAATTCCCCAGCTTTCATAACCTGGAGATGTCATCTGTACTTGGCACTGATTTTAAGATGTTTCCATTCATTCTATTTTCACTCTTCTACTTCAAACATGCCTTTCCAGGGCTTAGTTTGGATGGAAGAATCTGTGAGTGATTTTCCAATTTATTGTTCATCTGTTTATTTGCTTATTTATTTGCTGAATTAACACCTTTGCTTCTTTATCTAATGAACTGATCTCCTTCTTGGGCCCTTTATCAAAGCCCTTTCCTTAGCAACAGGACTGTCATATCAAAAGACACTTCTGATTGGCTGCAATTCAAGTGACCTGAATTTTCACTGAGCTCAACTCTATTATACCCCAACTCCCTTTTCTTTTAGTCCTGTCTGCACTGCCTCACTCTTGAGCTTACTGACTCCCGTCAAAACATCCATGAAGAAAATGTCACTACATGGAGTCCCAATACTGGGATTTTTTATCATAGCTATCCTGATGGAATCATCAGCTATCAAAGGTAGGTGCTGAGAGAGCTGAAATTAGAGTTAATAAGGTATGAGATCATTGGAAAAATGAATTTATAAGAAAATCTTTGGAGCAAAAGTAAAGTGTGACAGGTATTGTGTGGAGTTGAATCTAAATGTATAATCTAAATTGAATCTAACTTGCAACTTTGGGGAGTTCTCCTCTCACCACTAAATGAAGTTCAATTTAGTTTATAAGAGCAAAACTAACTTGCATATATGCCAATCTTGACGGAAAGCGACTTTCTGATATTCAATTTATCTCCCAGAGCTTTGATTTCTCTCTATGGAATGTTAATAAAATAAAAAATGAAAGACCTCACATAGTTTTGTGAGGATTAAATAGGAAGTGTAATGAGAAGTTTGAAGCAGTGTTCTTGGTTGAATATATGGTAGTTATTTTTGGCAAGGCCACCTGTGTGGTGCGAACAGTTAAGCACTCGACTACTAAATGAAAACTTTGTTGTGGCTTGAGTCCCTTCAGAAGCACTCGGATAAAGGGCCTAGTAATCTACTTCCAAAAGGTCACAACTATTGAAAAAGTTCTGGAGTACAGTTCTATTCTGACACACACGGGGTCGCCATGGGCTGGACCTGACTTGACAGCAACTGTTTTGGGTGGTGGTGGTGGTAGTGGTGGGTTTTTGTTCATTGTTTTCAGTATGTGAATCCTGTTAGTTAATTGTGAGCACAGAGATTGTATGGAAGATCATTAAAGAGGAAGGCTACCCAAGAATAGCAATCTACACAAGGGAAAGGGAAGAGCATAGAAATGCTGGTATAAATTGTATCTTTTCACTCCTTCTTCTTGTTGTTATTAAGTGCCATCGAATTGTTTACAACTTATTGTTGTTGTTGTTAAGTACCATGGAGTCGGTTCTGACTCATAGTGACCCTGTACAGGGTTTCCGAGGCTGTAAATCTTTACGGGAGCAGAAGGCCTCATCTTTCTTCTGAAGAACAGCTGGTAGTTTCATACTGCTGACCTTGCGGTTCATGGCCTGATTTGTAACCACTACGGTACCAGAGCTCCTTTCCAACTCATAGCGACCCTGTATGGGGTTTCCAAGGAGCGGCTGGTGGATTTGAATCACCAAACGTGTGACTAGCCATCCAGTGCTGGTCCTACAGCGCCACACCGGGACCCCTTCCTGTAACTGTTATTAAGTGCTGTAGAGTTGGTTCCGACTCATAGTGACCTGTACAGGATTTTCCGAGGAGTGGCTGGTGAATTTGAACTGCCAAACTTGTGGTTCAAACCAACCTTGCAGTCCAGTGCTTTATCCTACAGAACCATACCAGGTCCCTGCTAAATAATGTTATTTCCCAGAAAGCAGAAAAATTAATAAGGGAGCAGTCTAACTTTTTTTCTGCCTTCATCAAAGCAAACATGTGTGTTGAGAACAAATGTTCTTCATTCGGAGTCACTTACACAGCAATATGGAAATATGCAAAGCACTGGCCCCACTCTTAATACCATGGTGACAGTTGTAGTTTCCGCTGCCTATTTAGAGGCATATACAAACATATTCACCTGAAAAGACAGAGGCTCTTCTCTTTGGTTGGCAGAGGAAACTAGAAAGATGTGTGTGTGTGTTTGTTTACTCCTGCAAATGTTGTGTCAATCTCTAGGCATATTAATATACAGTCAAATCTTTTAATACCTCACTTGTCTCTGAAGACTAAGTAGAAAACAATACCATGAACACATACCATAGAGCATGCATACTGTAAATTTCCATTTTCAAGTTGATTATTTTCTTGGTGTTGATAATTCTCAGTATCATCCATAATAGAATACAATATGTCCTGTACGATGGTCCCAATCTAAGGACCATTAAGATTGCTGACATCAACCCAAGCATGATCCTTTTCATAGTGGTACCTATGAGCTGGTATACAACTTGGGAAGTGGGTGCTAACATTACAAGGTCTTCATCTTAGTTTTTGGGTATTCCAGGCTCCATTCTATTCTCTTAAATACAAAGTAGGCTCTGCTCCTAAATCGTGATTATTACTCAGTGTAGACATGATTGTTGTTGTTAAATGCCATTGAGTTAGTTCCAACTCAGAGTTTCCAAAGAATGGCTGCGTTTCAAACCGAACTTACAGTCAAGTGCTTATCCTACAGCACCACACCAGGACTCCATAGACCTGAGATATACTAGTTAATTACTTACCTTGTCTTATTTAACCTTTGAAACAAACCTATAGAAGAAGTAAAACCATGGAAGGATTATAATTTGAAAATTACATATCAATGGGTGGATATTTAGCTCAAGATGGCTCAGCAAGTAAGTAGCTTAATAAAAAAAAAATCAAGATTTGTCTTGATTCCAAAATTCAGAACTCAATCTTTTAAACAGTCTTTGTCTCTTCCTATACAGTACTTCCCTCTTCTTAGAGTAAAGTGTTCTGAGAAAGACATGCCCTGAAACGCTAACCTTATTTTATAGAAAGCCTTGTTAAAAAGAACGAGAGAACATTTCTCTTTTGGGGACCCCTGCCAGATGTCTTTAAAGGATTTTATTTCTCAGTTGGGAACATGAAGCCAAGCAATAGCTTCAGAAGACTCTTCTTGGCCCTCATGACCTTCAGTTCATCCTCGCTGGCTCTGCTCCCTTCTATCTGCTCCCCAACACTGCTTAACTAGCATGTCCTTCACTGCGACCTCATCTTCCCAAACACTACTAGTGTCCGTCACTCCTCCATTCCACTGGGCCCTGTTCCTCTTCACCACATTCTGTCCTCATGTGTGTGTCTCAGATCCTGGGTTCTCCTTCTCTCTGCTAATTCCCATTCTAACTCCCTTTCTTGCCTTTCCAGAGGACCATGTGATCATCCAGGCTGAATTCTATCAAATCCCTGAACAAGAAGGAGAGTATATGTTTGACTTCGATGGTGATGAAATTTTCCATGTGGATATGAAAAAGAAGGAGACAGTCTGGCGGCTCAAAGAATTTGGACAATTTGCCAGCTTTGAGGCTCAGGGTGCCTTGGCCAATATAGCTGTGGACAAAGCCAACCTGGACATCATGATAAAACGCTCCAACCACACACCCATTGAAAATGGTACCTTTCTATTGCTCTCCTAGACATAGGAATCTGTAGCTTTAAAATAAATATTCTGCTTTTTGTGTTTTATTATTGGGACTGACTGTTGCCCGTGGGGTTACCTGGGGTCATGTGGGGTTACTATGTGTTAGAACTGACTTGAGGCTTATGACAAATTTGTCTAAGCAGGCCCAAAATTACCATTCCACAAGCCCAATGGGTTGGTTTCTTCTTTGGGTACACATGTTGTATCTGCCACCAACAACCACTAACAAAAGTCACTACTCTGAATCCATGCTGGCATATCCAGGAATAAGGTCCTTGGGTATCTAACACCTCAAAATCGATTCAAGTTTCAGGGTGAGTGTTGGAAATAGATACCTGAGGTCCTGGCATAGCATCCTCAGGGCACAATTCCAACTGCTTTTTTAGCATAGGTTTGGATCACTGACTTAGTGGAGGGAGGAAAAAGACAAGCCTCAGCACCGAAGTCTAATTTCTATCTTGGGTCTGCTCCCCCAGAACCTCCAGAAGTGACGGTGCTTTTAAGAAATGCTGTGGAAGATGGAGAGCCCAACATCCTCATCTGTTTCGTTGACAAATTCACCCCACCTGTGCTCAATGTCCAATGGCTTAAGAATGGAAAACCTGTCACCACAGGAGTCTCAGAGACAGTCTTCCTGCCCAGAAATGACCACCTTTTCCGCAAGTTCTACTATCTACCCTTCCTGCCCTCAACGGAGGATTACTATGACTGTCAAGTGGATCACTTAGGTCTCGACAAGCCAGTCCTCAAGCACTGGGGTACAAACTATGCTTCACTCTACTTTAATGGTTTCCTTAGATGATGCATGTGACTGGTCTCTTGGGACCCTGACTACCCTAACTGCTTTATACCTTCTGATAAAATCTATGTACCTTGTCTTCTGCCACTAATCAACTCTCCCCACTATATAGTCTGCAATTTCATCAATACGCCATTCTATTTTGGTCTTCTTTAGTCTATTAATAATTAGTTTCTTGACTAAGTAACTTACATTTACTACTAAGTGCTACTCCCTACCAGTATTCATTACCTTTTACTCTATTTTATCTTTCCCCAGAGTATGAAATGAATTCCCCTCTCCCAGAGACAACAGAGAATCTGATTTGCATCCTGGGCCTGATTGTGGGTCTGGTGGGCATTGTTGTTGGTACCATCTTCATCATCAAGGGTGTGCGCAAAGGCAATGCAGTTGAACGCCGTGGGCCTCTGTGAAGTACTTGGAGGTGGGTTTGATGTGATTTTGTTGTTCAGTGGTGTCAAGTCGGTTCCAAATCATAGCAACCCTGTATAGGGTTTCCAAGCAGTGTTTGCTGTGTCTGAATCTCCAACCTTGCAGTTCAAACGAACCTTGCAGTTCAGTGCTTATCCTGTAGCACCACACCTATGATGTGGTTATTGTTGTTATGTGCCGTGGAGTTGGTTCCGACTCATACCGACCCTGTACAGGGTTTCTGAGGCTGTAAATCTTTACGGGAGCAAAAAGCCTCATCTTTCTCCGGTGGAACAGCTGGTAGTTTTGAACTGCTGACCCTGAAGTTCGCAGCCCAATTCGTAACCACTACACTACCAGAGCTCCTTATGATGTGGTTATAGGAAGACATATATAGAGTTTTCTGAGTTGGGGGAGACAGAAGAGGAAGGGACATATGATGCCTTTACAGGAAATGGGTAGACAAGCCTGGAGTTTTATATTTACTTTCCTAAGACAGAGTCAGACATGGGTATCTTCTGACATCCCCAAACTTCAGGGATCTCCAAACTACCTGATCTCTAAGGAGCTCTGGTAGCGTAGTGGTTACGAATCAGGTTGCTAACCTCAGGGTCAGCAGTTCGAAACTGCCAGCTGTTCTGCAGAAGAAAGATGAGGCTTTCTGCTCCTGTAAAGATCGACAGCCTTGGAAACACTGTACAGGGTCACTATGATTTGGAACTGATTCCACAGCACATAACAACAACAACCTAATCTCTTTCCATATGTGTACTGAGACCACAAGTTAAGTTTTAAGACATTATCTCCAGGGCCTAATACTCATCATTTCGCATTAGACTACCAAAGCAAATGAGCTAGGAAAGTCAGCTGCAAGATGTGGGTACTCGTGGTTTGACTCTACAAAAGACTGCCAGCTTGGTAGCATTTCCAGAGCCGGCTCCTTTCACTGAATAGAAATTACATGGCATAGACTAATTTCACAAAATCGAAACTTCTTGGAACCAACGGCTATTTTAGCTTCTGCAGTCTGAGTAGTGTTGTATATTCTAAAGAAGGTGAATCGTGGCCTGCTCATTTATGCTTACTCAGAGAGTAGGGTATACAGTTCATGTTAGAAGAACAGTTTTGTTTTGTTTTTTTACTTGGGAAAATTTATATTAAGAGATTTTTTTCCAAGTCAAAAGATTAAAGAAGAGGGAATCTGATGGGTAAAGTTCAAAATATTTATCTTAAACCCTTCACTAACTTAAGTGTACTCTGTTTCAGGTTATGGCATTTCCTGGAGAGATCAATGAAGAAAGTTCAGCTTTGACAGCTTTACAAAGTCAGCAACCCTCCAATTGTTCACCTCAGTAAAGTCACTTTCCAGTCCTAACACCCACCACAAGCAAAGTGACCTCTTCCCCTGGTCTCTATACTCACTTCTATTGGACTTCTCTATTGCTTCTTCTTGTATCTCTTTCCCTACCATCATTTTACCACTATGCAATACACCCTATAGAGCCCCAGGAATAGACCCTATAGAACTCTTTCTCTACTCTGGAATCTTTTCTGTGTTCCATGCCTGAATACTTATTGCTTGAGTTTTCACCAAACTGATTTTTTTTTTTAAATACAATAAACTGTCAGATGGGTCTTAGGTGGAATGTTCAGTACCTGCTCCAGTTCTTCAGAAGCTGGGGGGAGGGGAGGGGAGGAATGTTATTCTGCTATCTTAAAATGTCCTAATGTTGAGTATATCTTACAAGCTTTGGGATTAATCAGAAATGTCTAGCTTCATTAGGGTTTGGTATTCAGAACATCTATGGGCATCTACAGGCAAACCAGTTGCTGTGGTCATTTGGAAAACTATGGATTATGATTTGTTTGTTGATAAATCTCTACTGATCAATGGTTCTTAAGCTTCCAATTCAAAGAGCTACCTGGATCTTCAGTGAAGTGAACCTCAAACTCCAGGTTTGGGCCTCTGCCAATGGACAAGACAGATGACTGGAATGAGATGGGGGTGGAATGGAAAGTAGAATGAGAGAAAGGTCTTCTTACATTTCAGGATTTATGTCTATCAACATCACCCATTTCAGATTTAATAAGGAATGAGATTGGAAACAAAGAGTTAGAATTATCCATTTTTATAGATTTAATCTTTGATGCCTGTATCATCAGGAGACTATTCCAATTTATGCTTTGAACCGCCTTGTATTTGGAAATGTTCCCTGAACGTAAAAACTGTGGGTGGGAGGCGGTGGGGGAAGCAGGAAATATGGAATCAAAATAGAAAGAAAGAATATTTGGGACACAATGATCCACTGATCATTTGTCTATGAAACAATAGCTGGCTATTTATTTCTGAAATGAATACCAGAATCTAACCTATCAATAAAGATGAATGTCCCATGACAGTGGGCCAAAATGGGGAATGAGTTAGACTTGGACTTCATATTGTTTCTGTCACTAATTGGCAATGTAATCACTGGTACCTTACCTAACACAGTCTGTCCAGATTCCCCTTATGAAAACACTCATGTATATTTTTGCTACATTTGGATATGGTGAGAATTAAAAAAGAAAATGCAAGCAGAGTAGTTAAGGTACCATGTTAGTAATAATAATGTTGCAAAAATTGTTTCATTCTTTTACCTCAAAATTTCTATGGCCTGGTATTAATAAAGAGAATAGCAAAGCAAGCATAAACCAGACAGCAGGACCTTACCAGTCAATAGTTTCTATAGCCGTGGTATAGAGATCCAGGTTAGAATCTTGAGATAGAATAGACACAGGTGTTTATTTTACATAGCTTCAATTTTTCTGATTATAAAATAAATACAAAAAGAGACTATATTAAATATTAAACAAGCATAAAGTAAAAGAACTAAAAACTAACCATATCTTCCCATGTAAAAAAAGTCACTTTTTAAATGAACTTTATTTTTTAGAAGTTTTAGATTCACACAAAGATGGTGCAGAACAAAATCCAAATCCATGAACCTCAAGATGAGTCTGACCCATAGAGACCCCACATGTGTCAGAGTAGGTCTACTTTCCATAGGATTTTTGATGGCTGTTATCTTTGGGAAATAGTTCTCCATGCCTTTCTTCCTCAGTGATGCTGGGTTGATTTGAACTGTCAGCCTTTTGGTTAGTAGCCAAGTACAAACTGTTTGCACCACTCAGGTACATCTACAGAATATACACAGTTCCAAAAGCCTACCCCACCACCACTACCACATACAGTTCTCCTATTATTAAGGTCTGGCATTAGTGTGATACATTTATTATAAATGATCAACAAATGTTGATGCATTATTATTCATTTAAATCCACAGTTCATTTTGGGGTTCAGTCTGTATGCATAATCTCATGAGTTTTGACAAATACTGCATGTCATATATTCATCATTGCAGTATCATACAGAGTAATTTTGCTGCTCTAAAAATGACCTGTGCTCTACCTATAGATCCTTGCTTCAAGCCCTGATACTTCTGGCTTCCAAGATCTTTTTGAAATCTCTAGAGTTTTTGCCTTTTCCAAAATGTCATTTAGTGGGAATGATGCAATATGTAGTTTTTCAGACTGGCATCTTTTGCTTCATAATATGCATTTGGTTCTTCCATGCCTTTTGGAGTTTGATAGCTCATTTCATATTATCATTAAGAGAATAATATTCCATTGTATGGAAGTACCAGTTTGTTCTTTATTTTTATCCATTCACCCATTGAAAACCGTCTTGTTTCTATAAACATTTATGTGCATATTTTGTATGGAATTAAATTTTCAATTCATTTGGGTAAATACGTAAGCGCATGATTGCTGGGTTATTTGGTAAGCCCTTGCTTAGAACTGTAAAATACTGCCAGACTGTCTTCAAAACAGTTGATCATTTTGCATGTCTCCTAGCAATAAATACAGTTCTTTTGTTTCACGATTTTGTCAGCATTTGGTATTGTCAGTGTTTGTAATTTTAGCCAGAGAGCCACTTTATATAAAAACTATTTTTAAATAATCATAGATTCATGTTGTTAAGTGCTGTCGAGTTGGTTCTGACCCATAGCAACCCTTAGCAGGTTTCCAAGGAGTGACTGGTGAGCTTGAACCATCAACACTGCAGTTCAAACAGACTTTGCAGTCTAGCGCATTAATCCACAGCACCACACCAGGACAGGAAGTTACAAAGTCAGTACAGAAAGATCCTGTGAAGTTTTCACCCAGCTTTTCCAAATAGTTATACCCACTTCTGACAAGTCCATTCAGACTCAAAGAAACCCTATAACACGGAGTAAAATTGCACCATAGGACTTGCAAGGCTGCGATTTTTATCAAAAGAATAAAAGTGGCATTGGTACAATGTGTGTTCATAGATGTCGTTTTATTCTATGTTAGTTTACGTATCCACTCACTACCACAATCAAGCATTGAACTGTTCCATTCCCAGAGCTTTCCACATACCGCCCTTCCGTAGTCACAACCGCCTTCCTTATACTACCACTTCACACCTCTCACTAATCTGCTCCCCATCTACCATTTTGGCATTTGAGAATGCTATAGAAATGGGATCATACAATAACAATCTTCCAAAACTGGCTTTTGTCATTCAACCAAATACCCTCAGACCTGCCTAAGTTTCTGCATGTGTCAATGGTTTGCTGAGTAGCATACCATGGTAGCACCAGTTTGTTTACCTATTCACCTACTGAAGGGCATTTTGGTATTTCTAATTTGAGGCCATTACAAATAAACAGCTATAAACATTCGCCTAAGTTTTTTTGTGAGCACGTTGGTTTTCATTTCTCTTGGATAAATGCTTACTGAATGCTGGCTTGTATGGTAAATATTAGAAGTCTTGGTCATTGAGTGATTCAGGTGCTCAGTTGCTACAGAAAGATTGCTGGTTTGACTGCACCAGACATTCTGCAAGAGAAAGATGTGGCAGTCTGCTTCCATAGAAATGTACAGTCTTGAAAACCCTATAGGACAGTTCTATTCTGTCCTATCAGGTCATTGTGAG